TTCCGCGGGTCAGTTAGCACCGTAGAAAACTGCATCTGCTCGGAATAATGACTCGGGGGAAATTTTTACTTTTTTGGTCTTTTTTATCGCATTCTTTTAATGTATCGAGCGTCGCATGGTGTGGAAGCAGAAGCATGTTTCCTTGAAAAAACTCTCTGGTTGACCCGCAGGAGTAAGGAAGGACGCCGTATGAAAATTCGAAAGTTGCCTTTCCTCCGATAAAACGTTCATTTTGGAGGAGAGTTCTGAATATTTTCTCTTGATATTTTCATATAACTTAGAAACACTGGGAAAAAAAGTTTCTTAGATCTAGAGTCCAGACGCATTTTTGCAATTGGTGTTTTAAACCTGTTGTTGGCGGATTATGATTATTTAAAGACCGGAAACAGAGTGTCACGCTTTAAATTCCTTGTTAAAGGCTTTAATTTAATCTCATGTGGCTGGATCAAGCATTGTGTAATTGAAAAGTGACACTTGATCACGAGATACGCACTTCTGCAATGAGTTTGATGCACGCAAAAGACACAGCCAACTGAGGACACTTTCTAAGGATAAAATAAATTTACTCGATAATCACGTTATACAGGCTATAGGACATTTCGTCAATGATTTTTTGTCCGCGCACCTGTTTTTCTAGTTGTTTACGTCCACCCATTTTTTCGGCGGGAAAGTTTTGGTCCACCTACCAATTGGACGTATTTCTACCAAACAGACCTATGTGGAGGTGAGAAATATGGGGTGTGCTCTAGGAAGCTGCATAAGAAGCAATGTAAAAGTGGGCTTGATTCCTTTTGAAGAATTGGAAAAGCGGGATTTTACATTCTATCAAACAGATCTATGTGCCAACTGAATGCGGCAGTCATGAGCCGCGGGCATGGCAAGAGAGTGTTGTGCACAGGGCTCATGAGTTAAAGACTCCCTCCAACGATCTCCCCCTCGCTCGAGTGCGCACTATCATTGCCGCTGACGTCACTGGCGCTTTATTATTCCCATTCATTCTTACGCAAAGAGAACTAACGAGCACACCCCACATTTCTCACCTCCACATAGGTCTGTTTGGTAGAAATACGTCCAATTGAGACTCAAAGTAAATTGGATCTTATGTAAATACAAACGACAATTGCTCACGACGTTTTTCGATAAAAGTGTAAAATGTCTCGGAATATGTATAAAAAGAAAAATTACTTACATCAAGCAGAAACCCGCTTTCATTGAGCTGCGAATTATCCTTGATTCAAAATAAAATCTTCTTATCGGCATACTCAAGAATGTTTCTGCCTAAATCGAGTCACTTTTTTCTCTGATGAATTTTAAAAGCATGCTAAACGTTATTAAATACGGATGAGTCCGAGACTTAGTAAGTTTTTTGAACCACCGCTCTCTTTACGTGCCGTAGTATCTTGATTTATTTTGCGAGGAAGGCTCTGTCCTCTTAAAGAATGCCTGCCATACTTAAGATGCTGGAGCGCGCTCAATTTCGTATGATACGATGCATCACCTGTGTTGTGAAATAGTTGCTTGGGGCGCCGTGGCACGCTACGGCGCGGCGGGCCTACAATAGCGCCTACAAACCTAAGGGGATACTTCAAGCATTGCGCAATGCGTGAAGTATCCCCTTAGGTTTGTAGGCGCCAGTGCGCGTTACGCGCTGGCAGCATGCTGGCAGCACGCATGGATTATGCTCAGTTACATTCATGAAAAAAATGTATGTATTGAAAGAAACTGTAATGTGTGTTCTGTAAATACTGAGGTGGCTTCATGTTAAATTTGATGATTTCCGGAGCACTTTAGTTTCTTCTTTCATATTTTGTTTACTGTGCCGCAGCCCGGTGTACACGCAACCAAACACTCAAAATTGGAAGTATTTGACTCTAAAAGATCGATGTTCAAATAGGTCAAAACCAAAGATTGCATGCTTCTTGGTTTTTTTCCTCTTTTATTCATTTTTGTATAGTTTCTTTCAACATCACTACGGCTAATTGAAATCAATTCAATGACATCGCTTGGAAACCATTTGTCAAGTTCTAAAAATTTAATTTTTTTTAAAATGAAGTAATATTTTCAATTAAAAAAGGTATATATAAGGTACATTTTATATAAAAAATTGTAAAAATGGAAATGAAACCAAATATTCATCAATGAAAATTTAAAAAGATGAATCAAAATATGAAAGTAACATTTCATTTAAATATTATTCATCACAGCGACACCTCCTTCTCTCTCAAGTTTCTCATTTCCATATTGTCAATATAAGTTTACCTACGGACTAAAATATAACGCTTATGGACCAACTTACTTTTTCTTATTTTACGTGTGGACGTAAACTACTGGACAAAATAGGTGCGAAAGACAAAAGTCATTGACGGAATGTCCTGAAACCTTAGGTGGTAGTGCTTTAACTTGATTAACAGTGTTATATTTAGTTTTTCATAGTGGTTTTATTGTGAAAATGTTGGTGATGTACTCACCTATTCATATAGCCTAATAATTTGGATTCTTTTGGCACAAAAGTTCTTTTTCTCTTGGACGGTCACATTTTAGCTCACAAAACATGATCAAGGTAAAGTCATTAAAATCTTAGCAAGCACGAAAGGAGGAAGGAGAGAGCAACTTAATTTTGCATTCAAAACTTGACCAAAGAGAGAATCCAGTTTGAGGAATTCCGCTAGCTCATTTAATTGGGGCCGAAATCAAATCACGAAAGACGTGGGTCGGTGAAGCAGAATACGAAGACCGAGTCGAAGAAAAAAGCAAGAGCGAAAAAAGAGGAACGAGCGTGAAACACTCGAATAAACAACCGACCACTTCATCCATTAGTCACCGATACGAAAAACTTTTTCCAGTCGTGTATGTGTTCCGGAGAAGTCAGAGTTGGAGATGCAATGAGTCGAGTTGAGCGGAAACATTGGTTCTCTAGTGGTTGTGGCTGCCAAAACACCGCCTCAGACTTCTTTTTCTTCAAAAGCTCGATAGTGATGTCAATCAAACAGCATATAGAAACCTCCGCAAAGTTACAGTGTGTCTTGTAATTACAAATCTAACTTTGTGTTTTTTGGTCTTTCTAGAAGTAATGACATTTAGGTTGAGTCCCTTCAATGATGTAGGATAATTTCGAAGAAAGACATGAAAAGTATGAAACTGTCAGCGCTATTAATGTGGAAAATGAAAAATAAAATAATGATTAAATGCACTGCTTAATCACATGGTTAGTAGAATATGTCGTCACCTTCTGGCCAAAGTATCACACGTGTCATGCGCCGTTTCAATATTTTCGCCGTCACTTGATTGTTTTACAGAGAAATTATTGGTTGAATCTGTTTGAAACACTGAATTTTATTGGTAGCACAAAGAAAAATTCAATCACAATTTTGGACAGCTTCGCTGAAGAATTTTTTTGTAAAAAAAAATGGCGGCGAAAATTTTTAAGTGTCGCGTGGTGCTTTTGATACTTTGGTTGGAAGGTGCTGATGTGTATGAAAATCAATTAGAATTTGCTTTTTCCAAAATATGTCTTTAATTTTTAAAACAGCAGGCGTTTCTTGTATTATTATGGAAGAAAGGAAGGAATTTTGGAACACCGTCTTTGGGATTTTTTACGTTCTTAAATTTTCACTTTTTTCTTTTTATTCTAATTTCACCATCAATGCGTTCGTTTATTCATCAGATCCCACCAGAAACTGTGTTGAGCATCACGCACACACCGCGTATTTTGATGGTGGCGCGCACGGCGCGGCGCACCGGTGCTGAGAACCCACAAAAAATAAAAACGCCTTCAATTTTTGCATATGCAACACGGACATCCGTAAAGTTCGAATAGTTGCATCAGCGAGTTATTACCGATGTCGCATTGCGTCTATTGCCGTAGAAACTTCGATGACGGTGTGCTCTATTCCTCCCGTTTGTGGATACATGCACTTGCCGTGTTGATCACGCGGTACAAGTCGCAACTATTTTTGAAGATTTTTTTTCAAAATGCAGAGATGAAAAATTAAAAAACTCAACAGTTTGAAAATAAGCTTGCAATGGACCATTAGGAAGATTAAGAAATTTACCTATAACGAAGTATGTATTCTCATCGTGTTAAAATGTTATGTAAAAATTGGTTTAACACTTATGATTTTAAAATCTTACCAGTAAGAAGTTGGCATGCTATTTATCTGTAAATTTAAACTTTCCAACAAAAACTTTTCGCCAAAAAAACGAGAGCCTACTTGAATTAAACCGAGCGTTGAAATAAATGCGACGATTTAAATTTTCCTCGGAAAATTTACGGGTACTGCCTATCGGAAAAGGAGATGGAACTCAACTTTCTACTTATTATCAGAGAGAAAAGTTGTTTTTGAATGCCGATATGACCTGCTGTAACTTTGATTTTTCTCAGCAGAAAATTCAACATGACTGTCTTTAACTAATAGCACATATGGACCGAGTTTAACAGAAAGGAACCGAGCCACATCAGCTATTGCCAAGTTTAACTGGGCAATTAAATTCTTTACGAGAGAACGTTTGTTCGGATTTCTTTGAAAATCTGTAGGAATTTGCTTCGTACCATGGAGAATTTTCACCAAAATTTGCACGAAAATCCGCACAACCGTTTTCATGTAAAATTAAATGCCCAATTAAATTGGGCAATAGCTGATGTGGCTTGGTTCCTTCCTGTTTAACGCAGCCCATATCGACGGTGAAACTACCAAACCTCGTATCTCGGTTTGCGACGTCGCAGACTTCCTGTCATACTTTATTTTTTAGATGAAAAAGTACTTAACGTCCAGTCGTGAAAATTTCTGTGATTTTTCCTCTTCGTGCGGAGAAAATTTTGTGAAAATTTCAAGGAATGATATTGATTTTGTCTACTTCAAAAAAATAAAATGCGAGCGTCGATTTTTAAACACCGCAAACGAGATACGTGGTTTGGTAGTTTCACCGTCGATATGTTGTTTCTAAAGTGATAGCGGTAATGGAATGAAGTATTGAAATGGCTTCTGTGTGGGTTGTTGCAGGGATTGGGGCGCCAAACCTGCGTTTTGGGACGAGTGGTTACAGCAACTACACGAGCAACCGAACGACATTTCAGTGTCACCCGGACGGAGAGACCGAAGCGGCCATCATTTTCAGTCTCTGTGCAGCGGGCATCTCCGCCAATGTCGCCTTGATGACGCTCATCGTCTGCAACAAACAGCTCAGGCGGTAATCAAAGCGATACGATTTTTCACCTACTTACTTTTAAGTTTCTCCCGCCGCGTCCAGGTTATAATATAGCTCTTTTCATTTCGCATCTGAAACGGGTTGACTAGAGTCCCTTTATACTGAGAGTCAAGACAATTCGGCTCGTGGATGTCACAAACGGGAACAAAGATTACAGAAATTGAACGTTTTTCGTAATCTTTGATCGGCCCATTCTCAAATTCCTTTCTCCGTTCCTCCTGGTTCCTCCTCTCATTCCGTTTGTTCCTTGCCGAACCCGTAATGCCCTGGTTCATTCCAGATTATAATCTTTGCAATCGGTAAAAATGTAATCTTTATTCCCGTTTGTGACGCTGTGGAGGCCTAAAATACGGGAACCAATCAGAAATGGATTCAAATTGTCTTGACTCTCAGTATAAAGGGACTCTAGGGTCGACTAGTGACACATAAGAAAGCCGTGAGTGCGAAAAAGTCAACATTGTTTCAAACAGAATTGCCGTAATGGGTAACGCTGTATTTCGCCAGAAGATATACGTATTGAGTAAAATTCCGCCTTTTTCTGCTAATTCCTATCATTAAAATTTGTTTGTTGTGCGTCCAAAACGCAATCAGAAAAGCAAGCAATGTTGTATGATGACCAACAGTCATCAAATCGTCATTTTCCGGACGAAGTGACGTAATTTCATTCCAAGATTGCAAAGTTTACGCAAAAGATTAAAGTGTTTACAAAAAAGTACATTTGCAAAATATCTACAAAATTTTATTGATATTTTATGAGATCTGAAGAATAATCAGTAAAATTTTATTTAGAAATCTCCGAGATTCTCTTAGTAAAAATGCAATTCGCGAGAGGAACTTTGGCAACATTGAAATTAAGTTACCTCCTTTTGTGAAGGGGACTGACGAAACACTCTTTTCCAATCTTTAATAGGATTGCATTTTGCAATAAGAAACCACTATTTCTGCCTCATTTTAGAAACAACAAACATGCCGTTGGTTTCTCTATGCAGATATGTGCTTTTATGGGAGAGCCAAAGATGGTTCCTTATCGTAAATTGTAATCCAATAATCCAAACGATTTGGATTAAATTTTGCAATACGGAACCACTATCTCTGGCTCTCCCATAAAAGCACATATGTCCATTGAGAAACCAACGGCGTGTTTGTTGTTTCTAAAATGAGCCAGAAATAGTGGTTCCTTATTGCAAAATGTAATCCATTTGTGAGTCTTCGAATAATTGGTGGCAATTTATCAAAGAACGCAGGTTTTTAAAATAGAATTTACTGCTCCGGAGCTACTGAGTCAATTTCCTGAAAGCTTCATGTTTGCTCTTGCGGCTCTATTCGGCACGACGCGACGCTACTGTGCTGAAAGGAAGAACGCCGCATAAGCGTTCGACTGTTGCCAACTTTTCTCTTAGAAAATATTTATTTTCGAAGAAGGTCATGAATAACTTTCCTTGAAATTTTCGGAGCCTTAGATCAAATCACGAAGAAAATTCTCTGAAAAATTGGAGGGAAAATATTCACAAATTTTCTAACAATTTCGTGATCCATGAAAGGAAATTTGGCAACATCTGGAGGCTCGTAAGGCGTTTTTTCTTAGTGCAGCACGACGCGACGCACAGTGGATCGAGTCGAGGGGAGAGGTCGGACCAAATTTGGAGACTTTAAAAACTTTTAACTCCGTTCATACAAAACTTGGAGGTTTTAAAAGTGATTCTGTTGGTTTCCTCGTAAAATTTTCTACTAAAACACCCCTTAAAATTAAAAATTTGACAAATTAAACAACAAAATTTGCAGTATTAGTTGAAAATGTCATGTCCAACCACTCTCATTAAGTTTATACACTTAATAAAATGCTACACAAATGCTACTCTTAATCGGGTTTTCTCATTTAAATTTGTTTTTCCTTTTTCAATTATATTTTTAATTTTAACTTATTTAGTTTTTCTTCATGTTCATGGATCTAATAATCCTTTAGGGATAGTCGGATTTTATGACAAAATTTCCTTTTATCCTTACTTTTTAATTAAAGATTTTTTGGTTTCTTTTTTTTTAAAATCATATTTCTATTTTTAATTTGCTCTTCTCCTTTAGTTTTAGTTGATTCTGATAATTTTATCATAGCTTATTCACCTGTCGCTCCAGAACATATTCAACCTAAATGATACTACATATTTTCCTACACTGGGGAAAAAAACACATTGGATCTAGAGTCCAGACTCTTAAAAACATCGCCAAGAAAAAATACTCTTGATTCAATCAGATTTAAGCTTAAATCAAGAACCAAGCCTCTTAATTTGAGCTTGAATGATTTCAGCTCAAATCTGATTGAATTAAGAGTCCTTTTTCTTGTCAATGTTTTCAAGAGTCTGGACTCTAGATCCAAAGTGTTTTTTTTTTTTTTTTTTTTTTTTTTTTTTTTTTTTTTTCTTTTTTTTTATTTTCCAGTGTATGCTATCCTACGTTTTATTCCTAATAAATTGGGAGGGGCAATAGCCTTGTTTCTATCGATTTTAATTCCAACTTGCAGTCACACCTGCAGTGAAAGCGGAAAGTGAACGGCCGTACAGATCGGCAAAAGCGTAGAACGCTGTGAGGGACGCCCGACGCGGCGTGTAAAGAGCATCCGCGTTTTTCTTAGCTTGACGTGGAGTTAATAAGAGGAGCCCGATTATGCATTGAGGCTGGGTCGGCGGCGGGCTGGCGTGCCATCAGATGATTATCAGAAACAGTGTCGGGAGCAGATGAGAAGAGCAAACTTGGAAGACGGAAAACGGGAACCGGGAACCGGGAAAACGGCCGCGAGCATTTTTATGAGTGCCTCGTCGCACAGTGGATCGAGTCAGTCAGAGAGGTCGGACATGAAATTCTTGACTGAAACTGCACATTTTTATTTTTATCTCGTCACATTTTAAACTCTGAGGGGTGCTTCTAGCAGAAAATTTCACGAGGAAACCAATGAAACCACTTTTAAAATTTCAAAGTTATGTATGAACGGAGTTACAGGCGTTTAAAGTTTCCAAATTTTGTCCGACCCCCTCTGTTGACTCGATCTATTGTGCGTCGGCTCCTGCGTCTGCCTCACCTAGTTTCCCCCACCCCCGCACCCGGCTTCCTCCTTTCGCAACTTTCCGCGACTCCCTATTTTAAAATTGTTTACCCACCCCGCCGCCCGCCGCGCGCCGCGGATCTCTCCTCGTCGGCGCCCGCGGCGGTCAGGGATATTAAACGGCGCAACAATACGGTCCCGGCCCGGCCGAGGATATTTTAACCGCTCTTCGATGGATACCTGGAAAAAAAGGAGGCAAAATTAACGCGCGGTCAGGTGCGAAAAGACTCATCATTAATCGTGTAGGCGCTAAAATAGGAGTTTATACCATCGTTTAAGAAATGATTAAAAACAAAGCACAAAAACATAGCCCGAATATACGAATAAAGAGGAGATTTAATTTAAAATATATAAATTATAATCAATATATAAATTAAAATTTAATATATTAAAATATATAAATAGCCTTGGTTACCCATATTTTAAATTAAATCTCCTCTTTATTAAGAAATGATTAAATATATGCCGGAATAGTCAAAAGAAACGCTCGGTGCACGGAGAAAAAAACCTCGTCCATGGGACCCGAAGTTGAGGTCATATGGATGTCTGAAGTTTTCTGATCACGCATCCGAAAACTTGAGGTCGAGCTGCCGGAGCGCCTTCAATTTCGTATGATACTGTGCAACACCTCTGTGGTGAAATGGTTGCTTGAGGCGCCTGCCTTGGCATGCTGCGGAGCGGCGAGCGGCCGGCCAGCGCAAAACGTGCATTAGCGCCTACAAACCTAAGAGGATACTTCAATCATTGCGCAATGCGTGAAGTATCCGCTTAGGTTTGTAGGCGCTAGTGCGCGTTTTGCGCAACACGCTGGCAGCACGCATGGATTATTCTCATTTACATTCATGAAAAAACATTATAGATTAGAGTTTTATTCAGATTTTGACCCAGGTTGTTCTATATCACGCGATATACTTTTGAATTATACCATTTAAACAATGCCAAAGTTCGGGTCAGACATCGAAGCACTTTGGTATGTACCGGAGTACTTCAGTTGTGTGACCCAAACCCTTCGGTATATACCGAAGTACTTCAGATGTCTGACCCGGACTTCGGCAGCTTGACCTCAAGTTTTTAGATACGTGGTCCGAAAACTTCAGAGATCCATATGACCTCAACTTCGAGTCCCACGCACGAAGTTTTTTTCTCCGTGCACGCCATAGAGTACCAATATAGAGAGAGTATAGACGGATGTGAAACTCCGAAAATCCATTAGGCCTTCACCGATGCCTCCGTGCATAATGTTAGGGCCCAGAAATGCAGCCAACCTATGAATTTCAACTATCCGGAGCGATTTACTTATCTAATTGTTAGAAACCATCGTTTACTAAGCACGTTTTTCACTTAGTTTTTGCATAAATTTACTCATTTTTGCTCATTCTTGGCCATCTTGGTTAGAATTGGAATCTGCAGACTCTGCAGGCTGGCAGTGAAAGTTTGTGCGTTAGACGGTAGTTAGAGGAATGGTTGCACTTTTGGGTCCTAAGCCCTTCAAGCGAGCTGTCCACACTCTCGCTATACATATAGGTACTCTAGTACGCCATAACTTGATGTGTGCAAAAGGGGGAATCCTTATCCGAAAAGGTTGTTATTTGGGTCAGAGTGCTCCCCTCTCTGGCCCCCCTGAAGAAATGGGAGGTTGTACCCCCACCCCCCACCCCAAAAGTCTACCTTCTCAAGGATTAGGACAACGGTCTAAATCGGAACTTTTTAACTCAATAATTGGATGAGTCAAGGCGTATCGAGCATTTCTTTTGCCCATCCCGGAAGAAGGAAACTTTTATCAACTCATTTGCACGAAAATGACCTTGGAAATGGACGTCTTTTGTGAGTTCGCAGTAAAAAAAAATTTCGTATGAGTACATTCAAGTTTTCTTCTGCATGTTCATCA